GTATGTATGTATGTATGTATGTATGTATGATTGTATGGTTGTATGATTGTCTGATTGTATGTGTATTTATATACATGTACACACACATACGTATTCATATACACGTAGATACACCTTAGCATACATACACACAATCAACTGTGCATATACATAGACATACATACATAGACATATGCATGCATACATACATATATATAAATATACGCAAACATACACACATACCTTCACACATATATATACACACATATATATACATGCGTATAAACACATATTTATATGTACATATATATACGCACATGCATGCATGCATGCATACATACGTGCATACATGCATGCATACATACATACTTTCGTACAGACATGCATGTATACATGCATACACACATACATGTATACATGTATGCATACACGCATGCATGCATACATACACATGCATATACATACATATGCGTATCAATGTTGGCTCAAGTGTTTGTGGCGCAAACATCCCTTCGCCTCGCATTGCTATCCATAGTGAGTCCCTGTTGGTGGCGGCACCCAGCGCCCCACTAAGCAGGAGGCGGCGCGTTGGCGCCGTGCGCGCAGGCTGTCCCTGGAGCGCATGAGCTCGAGTGCCGAGCTGGGCAGCCCTGGTCGTCCAGATTGCCGCCTTCTGCATCTGTGGGACCCCCGCAGGGCCTGGTGCAACTGGCGTGCATGGTCCAGCTCCCGCGCTTGCGCCTGGAGATGTGCAACGATGTGGGCAAGATCCTAGAGATCCGCCAGCAGATCGAACAGCTCGAGCGTCAGAAGGAGCTGATGACGAGCAGCTCGCCTCCACCCTCATCGCCGAGACCCCGTTCGCGCCCCACGAGGAGAACGCCGCCGAGACGGCAGGTGCACGCCCTCCTCGGGGCCACGCCTTCGGCAGGAGCTCCCGCGGGGAGGCCCTTCCGCACCCACCGGCTGCAGGAGTACTGCGCGCGAGCTTCGAGGCCCGCCGGGCTGCGAAGGCTGCCGCCCCGACAGCCACTCGCGCGGCCGAGGCGGCGGCGCAGTCGGCGGCGAGGGCGACTGCAGCGCCCCGCCGGTAGCACCGCCAGTCCGTCCACTGCAGATGAGGCGCCCCTCCTCCTCCTCCTCCTCCTCCTCCTCCTCCTCCTCCTCCTCCTCCTCCTGCTCCTCTCCTCCTCCTCCTCCTGCTCCTTCCTCCTCCTCCTCCTGCTCCTCCTCTTCCTCCTCCTCCTGCTCCTTCTCCTCCTCCCTCCTCCTGCTCCTCCTCCTCCTCCTCCTCCTCCTCCTCCTCCCCCTCCTCCTCCTCCTCCTCCTCCTTCATTGTTAAAAAAATCGTCTGGGGACGATGTTTCGACTATTTTTGGCTACTTCTGAGCATTGTTTGCATCTTTGTTCTTTTCGTCCAAGATCCGCCCAAGAGAAGACATGCCCGACCCAACCTGCGCTGCCGACCGTGCAGGAGTCGTCGATCAGGATGGGCACTGAGCTGTCCCCGAAGCCGCGAGTGGAGTGGCAGGATATCGTCGCCGACGACGACGAAGACCACGACGAGTAGGCGCGCAGCGAGGCGCCCACCAGAGTCGAGCCTGCGGCACACGGGCCACCCACTGCCCTGCATGCAGGTGCGCGGGCTGCGGAGCCGCAGGCTGACGCGGAGGAAAGCGATGATTTTGTTTCGTCTCTTCCTCATCCCCCCCCCTCTCTCCCTTCTGCACAGTAGCCATATGTAATTCAAGAGAGAATGTTGGTAGGCCGCCATTCCCGCAAAGCGACGCTGCGTGGCCGAGTCCAGCAGGGCGAAGTGGCCCATCACTGCGGCGAAGGGAGGCGACGTGGGTGCCCACACGGTGGAGGTCACTCTTTCAGTGCCGACCACTCCTTGGCGTGGCTCGCCCGTTTCTCTCGTAGGTGCGATGCCTGAGGGGCTCTCCTCCTCCTCCTCCTCCTCCTCCTCCTCGCCCTCCTCGTTGTCCTCCTCCTCCTCCTCCTCCTCCTCCTCCTCCTCCTCCTCCCCCTCCTCCTCCTCTTTGTCGTCCTCCTCCTCCTCCCCCTCCTCCTCCTTCCCCCCTGCAACTTATGGTGGTGGTGGTGGAAAACAGGCTCATCAATGCCAGTCCGGGAAGCCACCCTGAGGCACCGTGATGAGGTGTGCGTGCGACGACGCAGTTGGAGACATCCAGGCGCTGCAGGATGGCGAGCAGCCGCTTCTCGCGGAGCTTCAGGCCTTCAGCGACGCCGACACAATTATCTTCGTGATCGGACCCGTGCCCGAGCTCGACGCCTTAGCGCCTTCTGTATAAATGGGCGCGCCGAGGCATGCAGTTCGCTTTCGTCGCCAACGTGCAGCATAGCGCATGCGTCGTAGCGGCGGCGCTGGCGGTGCCCCGAGCGTACTGCCAGCTTCAACGCCAAAGCCGCCGTAACACTAGCACTGGCGCGGTCGCCATGCTTTCGCCGTTCCAATGTAATTTTGACAGCGCTGTGCAATTAATTCGCTGAAGCCGTCGTCACGCTAGCGCGGGCGGTTCCGGTACCTCCAGCGTGCCAGTCTGATTAACACAGTATTTCAGCTGCTCATGCCGTCATGCGCCGCGTCTCGACGACGAGACGTCACTCCGAGCTGCCTCTGCGCTGCGTGTCGCCGACTGGCGTCGTAGCCGGGCGCTCGTTCTCACAGTAGCTCTTTGTGCTGCTCCGGCGCAAATATGTTACGACGATTTGCCTTTTTTCCGTCGTCGATTTTCAGCACAAACAGGGAACCAGAGGCAGCGCTAGTCTCAGCGCTAGTCTTTGCAGTGCCGCTTGGCTTCTATGCGCGAGACGCCGCAGCCCGGCCCCACTAGGGGGTTTGGCGCAGGCATGGGCTGGTGTGCAATGTTCGGATCGCCGATTGTGGCATTCGACGTCGCGCGCACGCTCTCCGCTTTAGCCACAGCTGCTTTTCCAGATGCGCCCGGCCTCCACAGCAGGACCGCACGCTTGGGGCAGGCCTGCGAGGAGCTGGGAGCCCTTCGATCCCCGACCAACAATAGATGTGAAACTATATACACGTATACAGATACAAATGCATAAACATATATATATATACACATACATACATCCATCCATACATACATACATACATACATACATGCAAACATACATACATACATACATACATGCATGCATGCATGCATGCATGCATGCATGCATGCATGCATACACACATACATCCATGTACCCATACGAACATGCGTACATACACACATGCACACATACACGCATACACACAAAATACATACATGCATACATACAGACATGCTCAATGCATATGCACACGCTTCCTCTCTCCCCTTGTGGTACTGTCCAGTGCGTGGCCGCCCCCCCCGCGCATTTGCTTACCACACAGGATGTGTGCTCCACGCTGTCATTTGTGTGTGTGGTGTCTGTGTGTGTGCGTGTGTGTGTTTGTGTGTGTGTGTGTCTGGGTGTGTGTGTGTGCGTGTGCGTGTGTGTGTGTGTGCGTCTGTGTGTGTGCCTGTGCGTGTGTGCGTGTGTGTGTGTGTGCCTGTGTGTGTTGTGTGTGCGCTTGCGTGTGCGGTTGTGTATGTGTGTTCTGGGTATTGTGTGTGTCTGTGTGTCTGTGTGTGTGTGTCTGTGTGTGCCTGTGTGTGTGTCTGTTCGTGTGTGTCTGTGTGTGTCTTTGTGTGTGTGTCTTTGTGTGTGTGTCTGTGTGGACGTGTCTGTGCGTGTATGCCTGTGTGTGCCTGTGCGTATGAGTCTGTGTGTGTCTGTGTGTGTGTTGTGTGTGCGCATGTGTGTGTACATGTGTGTATGTGTGTTATGGGTGTTGTGTGTCTGTGTGTATATGTGTGTCTGTGTGTGTCTTTGTGCGTATCTGTGTGAATGTGTCTGTGCGTGTGTGTCTGTGTGTGCCTGTGCGTGTGTGTCTGGGTGTGTCTGTGTGTGTGTGTTGTGTGTGCGCGTGTGTGTGCGTGTGTGTATGTGTCTTGTATGTGTGCGTGTGTTTGTGTGTGTGCATGCGTGTGTGTTGTGTGTGTTGTGTGTTGTGTGTGCGTGTGTGCGTGCGTGCGTGTGCGTGTTCGTTGTGTGTTTTGTATTGTGTGTTGTGTGTGTTGTGTGTTGTGTGTTGTGTGTGTGCGTGTGTGCGTGTCGATTTGTCGTTGTCATCGTTGTCGGTTTGTCGTTGTCGTCGTTGTGCTCCTCGTAGTGTCGTTGTCGATTCGGCGTCGTTGTCCTCCTCCTGGTCGTCCCCGTGGCACGCTCCCCACCTTCTCCCGGTCGTCCTCCCCGGCTCCCCCCTGCTTCTCTTCTTCCTCCCCCTGTTCCTCCCCAACTCCCTCCTCCATGCTTTTGCCTGGCCCCTGGCCCCTTGCGCTGCAAACACCAGTACAGGATTGGCGAACAAGACAAGATCGAGCACAGTGGGGAAGGATGAGCGGGAGGGGTAGGAGTCCGATGTGGCGCGAACGCGCCTATCTCATCATTCCCGCGCCTCCCTTTCCCCCGCCATCCTCATGATTCTCATCTGCCTCTTCCTTTTCCTCCTCCTCCTCCTCCTCCTCCTCCTCCCTTCCCCCCCTTCACTTCCGCCCTCCTCGCGCGCGCTGCGGCGCACAGGCTCAGGCGGCGTTCAGTGAAGACTTGTCTGACGAACTCTGAGTTCCGCCCGTTTAAAATGCTGTTGTTGTTGAGCTTGCCCCAGCAGGGAGGAGAAGGTGGTGAATGCGGAAGAGGCAGAGACAGACGAGGAGGAGGAGGAGGACGAGGAGGAGACGGAAGAAAAGGAAGGGGAGGAGGAGGAGGAGGAGGAGGTTGACAAGGGGATAAGGGAGGAGGAGGTGGAGTAAGAGGAGGAGGAGGAGGAGCAGCAGCAGCAGCAGGAGCAGCAGGAGCATCAGGAGGATGAGGCGGAGGAGGATGAGAAGAATGGATGAGCAAGAGGAAAGAAGAGGAATTGTTCGGATACCGCCGAATGAGAGAAATGGGGACGGATGATAATGACG